TTTTCCACCATCTCCTCAAGAGCTTCCCCAACAGATAGATCAAAATGAATTGATTCATTTAAAGTTTAAAATAAAACATTTTACCCCCCAAATTCCAATTCTCTTGGCAAAAAGAGGTCCCAGAATCTGTTCTTGATAGTAAAAAAGACTTAGTTACATATTGTTATTTATTTTTTCGATACATTTTATAGAAGATAGGAGAGTGTTACATTGACTGTAAAGCCCAGTTATTTCATTTGCTTTTTCATATTTCCATTATTTTTCCCCAAGCTGTGTATCAATGAAACAATCTATAAGGAACAGACCAACTGATTTAATGTCAAATTTCAAAAAAAATTTACAGATAATAGTATTATCCAATTGGTGTAGAGAGTACTTAGCTATCAACCAGGCCGCAATGATCTTTGCTATTAGTCACTATCCCATTCCATTTTAGACTTAAATGATTACCCATTGAATCATTTGCCTTTAAAGAAGTTAAAAGAAAATAAACTACATAATTCTGAAACGTCATATTGAGGAAAATTAGGTATGCAGCTAAGTCAATTCATAAAATACCTTTTTCTGATAAAATAGTCATTGTGGACCTTTAGGGGAAAAAATTAGGAAAGGAACCATAAATGCCAATGGATTTGATTGATATGACAGGGTCTTCAGACACAACTTGCTATTTATCCATCTGAGTATTTTGAAAGCCAGTACCAAATGGATATTTCTCAACAATTTATAAACAGACCCTTCAGTCTTACCTTTAATTTCTTCTTTAAGACCAATCCTCTTCAAATCTCTTTGTTTTGGTATATCTCTGCAACTATCATTCACTTAAAAACTTTCAGAATATATTTCTTTTTAAAATTCTGCTTTTCTCATAAAACACACACATTTAAGCAGGCTTAAATAATGAATATAATTTCCGTTTTGTAGGCAAGAAATTTTTTTTTTACCCTTGTGATAACATCAAGAAGATGAACTTAAAATGTGATAATTGTAGAAGTCCAGGAACACAGGAGACAAAGAACAGTTGAGGAGTGAAGGGGGAAATGTAGGTCTTCACTATCAACTGTTGAAGTAAATGGATAGTTGCTTTCCTGTCACGTTCCTCACAAAAATCTAGGACAAACATGCATACATGCAAGCTATCATATATTTCAAAATGCACTAAAAAGAACACCTATTTTATTTCTATCCATTATATTTCTTAATTTCTACTACTGTTACAGTATTTCTCTCTTCATTTAAAGATGTTATATTTGTAGAAAGAAAATACAAGCACACCTGTCTTTCCCCTAACTGACTCCCCTTCCTCCTAACACACACTTCCTGGACGCTTAGTTAACAGCCACATATGGGAAGGAGGAGGTGTTATTTACTGAAGATAATTTTTATTCTAGATCAGAAAGTCTGGTTTGCTATACATTCAAGCCATTTAATTCATTTTCCGCTCTCCAGAAAAAGTAAGCAAGCAGAAAGTTCTCCAACTGGCTAGAACTGTATGGTCAAACGTGTTGGAGCCAGACTGAGTCATGTGGTTACTATCCGTGGTGCTGAAACCAGTACCTAGTGCAGTGAGATTGGAGACTGGCTGTTTGAAAAGACTTTCAGGAAAACTGAATCTATTAGTGGGGGGTAAAGTGGAAGAAAGGACATTCAGCCTTCACAACACAGAAATAAAAGTAAACTATCAATATCACTATACATGAAATTACAATTTTTTCTTTTAAATCTCCACAACTTTCTATATTTCCTTAGATATCTATGCAATGTATCTCATTATTTCTAAAGGGACATATGGATTTTGTTCTTTCAGGTGCCTTTTATTCAGTTATAGGGAA